TCGTGTGTACATAGGTTAAAAGCTCATTTGAATTAGATAAATAAATGTGATAGAACATGTTTTGCTTGTATTACAATAAAAGTGTTAATAATGTGAGATAAGATTCTTTTAATGTAGGTAACCTACATTGTACAACGAGTAGAATTCTAGTAATGTATATATTATTACCATAATCTATGAGTGGCGATCGTTAATTTATATCAGTTTATTCAAAACAAAGTTTTGTTTTGGCTAACTTTCAAAATTAGGCAAATTAAGGTTATTGTTATTAACACATTATTACAAAAAAATACGTAAACGTACGTACTACAGTTTCTGAGATTAAAGCCAACATAAGTATTATCTATTGGCATCGGTGGTCACTCACCATGAAGGGCTCAATTTTGCTATTTTAATATTGTATGCTCGTGTAGCGTGTAAATCGATGCACTGGTGTAATAATAATTCTGCACTTTTCGTATTCTACTAACTATGGATGACCAATGGCCTTCCGATGACTTGTCACAGAACTGCCACTGATACAAATGTCGTCGATGTATATGTAATAGTTTTGGTAAACGGTACATTTTAAATTTGCACAATTTTCTAGATATAAAAATGTTGTTGATATCACAATTGATGAGTCATTCACTACATCAACACTCTACTGACACTGAATTTATGTTAGTAGAATATCGATATTTTAACCGATGTCACTGGCATCTCAGTAGCATCTTAATAGCGTATCAATGGAATGAAAGTGGCTTGAACATTAACATAAAGAAGCAGAATTGAAGCCCAGCTGACCCGTGTGCTTGTATACCATCAAAAAATATATTCGCAGTTTCTGTATGATTGCAGTGTTTATTAGCTATTTACGGGTACTATACTGCATTGTTATCGAAATTACGAATTCACGTTGTCACCAATTAAATATTTAATTCCAATAAGCTAACAATGACATAGTAGTATCCATGAAAATGTCAATGAAATTAAATTTTATATTTGTAAAAAGTGGTGCGAGAACTTTGATTACGCGAAGCAGAATTTGTAAATAGGTAATCACTACACAGTTCAGCGCTATCACTAGATGACATATATGGAAGTCGAATAGTCGTGTCGTTAATAAGAGAGTCAGATCATCTGTAACCAATATGAGTACTCCCCTAAACGATCCAAGTAGTCATACTGATATAAAGTTTCACGATGCATAATTACAAACACGACAATATGTTTATTTACGAAGCACTTGCGAGAAGCGTAAACGTGTTCAGAAGCATTTCAATGTATATTTTTGTTTATGCTTTAGGGAATGCAGGAGGTGACGCATGGCGCCCGGTTTACGCACGTTTCGCAAAACGGACGCGATCTCGTCCTGTTACTGTTAGTTTTCGCTTTTGAAAATTATTTGTTCCAAGATGTAACTAAGAGATTATTTATGGCAAGCACCACATAACATAGATTTATAGGCACTCTCAGATTTTTGCGTGTTGCGTAATATTTTTATTTTCATAGTTTATTAGGTGTAGTAAATTTTAATATCTAAAAATGACAGTAGCATATGATCACCTCGCATGGTCGGAGGATCTCCTTTGGTGTGGGAGAGACGTGACACCTGTTCTGCTCCGCAATTTCATATTAAGAGTGGCCTGTTAGGATTAAGGTGATAAACCAGCTTAGAATAATTAAAAGAAAAACATTAACCAATACATTCTGACTTCAACTTTAAAATACCGGTACTGTAAATAAATTAGATCAGGAGTTCTGAAGGCCAATTCTCGTAATAAAAGTTCGGTTAAAATTCGGTTCCGATCAACTCTCGTTCTGACAACTGTCATAAAAGGTATTGTCGTAGTAAAGTATTAAACATCCAACGTTGACTGTAATGTGATTATATCGTACTAGCTTTTGCCCGCGCCTGCGCCCGCGCGTATGTTGGTTATCGTGGTATAAAGTAGCCTCTGTCTGTTCTTAAAAATCTAACTATATCCATACCAAATTGCATCTTAATCGGTTTAGCGGTTATTGATTCCCCATAAAACTGCTACTTTCTCGCCCCCGTAAAGGATGATTTCTGAGATAAAAACTATTTTATGTCCTTTCCCGGGACTCAAACTATCTCTATACCGAATTTCATCTAAATCGGTTCAGCGGTTAAAGTGTGAAGAGGTAACAGACAGACATACGACTGTATTCCCTATCACATCATATCACATCAACAGCCTTTAATAGTCCACTGCTGGACATAGGCCTCTCCTTAAAAAGAAGGTTTTGGCCTACTATACCACTGTATTCCCTATGACGCACTTGAATTCTCTCGAAATACTTATACTATTTTACTATTAAAATACCGTTTATGACAGTTCCGTGACCGAGATTTGATCGCAACTGAATATTAACAGAACTTTTATTACGAGTATATTGGTCTTCAGATTTCCCTGCAATATGGGGTAGACGTATCGTATGTTGTCACGTCTTTACGTTCAGTAACCCCCTATTCTATAGGTGAAATCAAAATCCTTTTTCTTTCAATGCCTCTTATTTTTAATCGACTTTAACAAAAAACGGTTCTCAGTTTATTTTGTTTGTAACCAGAACTGCGTCATTTAAGGACCAATTTGGATCCCACTCATGTTATTTGGGAGGGAATACTTCCCGTTTGGTTAGATTAAAATTTGAAGAACAATACTACCCCAAAGGGTAAAAAATTTAGGAATGAGTACAGTTTATTATAATTCATCATGATGTGGGCACTTTGAATTCGGTGATACTTTTTAAAAGTTAATTGTTGTCTAACTGTACCTGAATTCCCAACATATTACTATTTCCAAAGAATACCTCCAGGGCTTGTTGTATGATTTAATATGTTATCTTAATAATCACTCTTATTTCTATATAAATACTGTGCACATCTTTACGTTATTCATTACGTCAATGAATACGACCGCGAAGAGTAGGTTTCCTGTAATTTTTTAGTTGGAATTTGATTAAAAAGGATTACCTAAGAAAACCATGTGACAGTGCTTTCTTTATATAATTATATATTTTTATGTAATAATGTATCTTCTCACTTATGCTATGTAGGTATACCATATAAAGATGATTTTTGTTTTTTTTTTTATAATTATATAAACGCTATTATCTTTGGCACTGTCAGTCATAATTGAATAATTATTTTTGTATTGTATACAGTAGGCACATATGTACGTAATATCACGCTTCGAACTTTAGGGGCTGAGCCGTGACCATACACAGAGATAAAACAGCGTTAAACATCTAGTTAAAAATAGGCTTACCAATATTGTATACAAAACTCCGTATATTGATATTTGTAGAAACAACGTATATAATAACAATATGGTACATAACTAATTTAATATATTTTGTTGTGGCTTATAAGCACAATGTGTATTCAATTCAAACACTGGCTAGGTCGCTGAGAGTAAATCAATACAGCTTTCCATTACCTCTTATGCAATATATTCTATGAATAGTAAATAGAAATTTCTAGTTTGCTGGTCTAGATATTATTACAGGATTTTTATTATGACGTAATACGAAGGATGTGGTATGTATGCACCTTTAGCTGACTTAATTTAATGTAACGATAAAATAATTTTTTACGAAACAAATCACCGACTTTAAAAAAATATCAATAAACCTACATTTTTTGTTATTCTAATTAAACTTTTTTGACATTCGAAAAAACTACCTACATTTGATTCATCAAAACCGGTACAGTTGTTCAATATCGTACCTACATATATACATACACAGGTCAAACATATGACCCTCTGTACCTTTTTTTTTTTAGTGACGACCTATTGTATGCTTTTGACTCTTGGAGCTTTGAGAATATTACGCATCAGCAATGGTAAATTACATTAGTGTTAGAGCTTTCTTTATTTTTAACGACTATAAGTATATACTTATAGTCGTTAAAAATAAAGAAAGCTTTATATACGTATATATAAGTATATTCCTGATGTATAATGCTGTTTTTACGGAATGGTAAAATCGTAGCTTCCATACGAATAGGCCAATTTCGATGACAGTGTTCTTAGCTATACTACTACTACTACTCTATAACTAGAGAAAACCTTTACAGCTATTCGAAGAGCATTAGCAGTTTATGATTTTTTTTGAAGACGTCTATATTTTTAAATCATGTTAATAACTTCAGGATTCTTAAATATGTCAACAAGGTAAACAGTTGTGACAAATATATTAACTACATAATATAAGTATAATAACTATATGTCATATATTACCGTTATGTACAAAACCAATTGTTTGCATTCGTAATATATACATATACATTGTACACATTTGTGAAAACCGTACCCAACTGCCCTTGGTAACTGTTCACACATAAGATGATTCGTAACACAAACTGAATAAAAACGATTCTTTATGGTACTGATATGTTCATAATACAGGATATAATAAACGACGCTAAGTGCACGTTAACTAGCGCTAGTTAGCGTCTCGCACAAGGAAGGGTTTAAAGGAATAATATTAAAAGAAAAACATGTACATTATACCTATTTTAGTAGTTAAATAAGTTTGGATGTTTCGTTGATTCATATTTTATAATTACTTTTTAGATTTATAATTGCTAGTTTCCAACATCAAACATATTTTGAAATCAGAACTAAACAGCCCTTTTGAAATACCTAATTCATAACCGTTGACGATCTATATTTAATTGTAATACATTTGACGTTTTAGTATTATCTCAAAAAGATTAAAAAATACTAAACAAATGTATTGACGTTGACGATCTATATTTAATTGTAATACATTTGTTTAGTATTTTTTAATCTTTTTGAGATAATACTAAAACGTCAAGAGACAAATTACTAAAGAGTAAATAACTATCTTAACAATTAAACTGTTACAAAGATTATTTAGAATTTCAAAGAAATTATGTTAATATCATAAGTTCATCATAATTCTTTCGTATAGCATTAACCGACCATTTTCATTATTTTTTCAGGTGCAATCGAAGAAATACGAAAATGACGATAGTAACTAATCCAGCGCGGACCAACTCCGACGATGAGATCCAGACGGGGGTAGCAAGCACAACTTGCATGGAGTACGGTGAAATAGATATTGACGCTCACACGGGGCTTTATGATGATGAAAAGCAGAGCGACATCGTGTTTGAAGTTGGAATCAACGGTGACACTTGGCGCTACCCTGGGCACCGCCGTGTGCTCGCTGCTACCAGCCCTGTATTCGCGGCCCTGCTTTCTTGCAAAACTGACGTCATTGTCGTTGACTACATTGATCGGAGGGGTTTCGAACAACTACTTCGTTATCACTACTGTGAACCGACACAACTTAACTCAGTGGGGACAGCGCGTTGCGCACTAGATGCTGCCTATAAGTTTCTCTGCCCTCCACTTGCAGAGCGTTGTGCTCGCAGACTCGACGAAATGCTCGATGCTGGAGTAGCACTTGAAATTTTACGAGACTTACGATTCCTTTGTGCAAGACTACCCGGCGCAGCTTCTGCCCCTCCTCTGCCTGCTCTTTCCGATGATGCTGCCGCCCGCACCCTAGCGCAGTGCTCGCGCTGGTGCGACTCTCTCGCCCACAATGCCCTTCTAGTATTGGATGACAACGCAGATACAGCTTTGACTGATGAACGCATTGAGGAGCTCACATACGAGGATTTAATGCTCATTGTGAAACGTGATACGCTACGAGTGTCAAGTGAGCTGGTATTAATCGAAGCTCTATCTCGTTGGAGCACAGCTGTATGTAAACGAACCAAGCGAGAATTGACTCCAGCGAATAAAAGAGCAGCGCTTGGAGAACTGTCTTATTGTCCACGATATTTATTGCTGTCCGGTGAAGAACTCGATCGAGCCCTCGCTCTTGAATTACTTGAACCGATGGAACGCGCTTTAGTTCTGGCCCGCGCTCGAAAACTATCTGCACCGATACCAGTGGGCAATGAACAGGAGGCACTGCTCCGTCGCTGGGCTCGTCCCCGGCCCACAGAGCCGGCAGCCCTGCCCGTACACCTTAGTGCACGTTCTGAGCCACCGGTTGAAGATGAACGAGCCAGTAAATTATGTGCGCGCCGCTCGAAGCGACCGAAACAGCCTAGCTTTGCACCCGACGATAAACAATCGAAACGAGGTTGCTGTGCGTGCTTTGGTGACGGACTCCTTAGAGCTCTCATTTGTTTATTCGACTGAGATTCGACGCCTGCTACCCATTTGTAAGGTAGCCATAGGCGTAACGATACATTGGACTTGTGACTGTTAAGTACTCAAGTGAAAAAGAATTTCTAAAAAAAAGATCTTGCATTCTTTCTTGTCTATCGAACTTCTCAATGTGAACATAAGTGTTGTCAACGTATAAAAGTACATGTCGTAATGGAATCTATTTATCAATTACACTTACTATTGGATAGACGTGGAAAAGTAAGGAAAGAAAGAATGCTTTATTTTGTATTTTTTTACGAATTGAAATTATGACTATTCGTATGAAAACTACTATTTTATCTCAGCGTTACTCAAGATGTAATAATTTAATTGCCAGCAGCTGAATTATATTTTAAGCTCTTGTCCATTTTTTGAGTCTGTGTTCATTTTATATTTCATGTATAGTTGCTATTTTGCTTATGGCGGGAACTCTTCGGTGTGTAATAGACGACAATGATGTTTGTTTCCGCGTCTATAGTAATCAATGTAGTAGACTATTTTGTAATTTGTGATATTTATATTAAATGATTAGTTTTATTAAAGTATCCTTTATTTAGTAATTAAATATGAAATTGTTTGACAATTTGCATTTATAAATGTTTAAGTGGAAATGATTGGTGCACAAAACGTTTACGTTTCATGTTTGTATTACTTGTTGAATAATTTTGTTGCATTTACTATTAATTGTATGAGATACACAATGACAGGTTATCTCAAATTTATATATTTCAACTACATTGTGCATTACATATATGTATTGCAATAAAGTATCATTGTGCCGAGTAAGGAGATTCATTACGATTAAAATAAATAATTGTGAGAAAAAATTCTAAAAGCTGAAAGTGTTGTTTAAGATAACCTGGTCATTAAGTCAGTATTTTGTTTAGTTAATTATAGATAAATTGTTTAGTAGAATTCTTCCATACTTTAGTAAAATAGTTACCTAAATATTCACTAGTCGTATACCAAGTACATACATTTAATGGATTATATGTGTATAGAAATATGTTTCAAACTGTCGTTCTCAGAACGTTACTTCTTAAAATAACATTATTTAGCTTAAATTACTATCAAAATGGGTGCCATATTGAATGTGGCTTTCATCAAATAATCATTTTCGTCGTGTTTTTGATTATACATATTTAAAATTTATAGAGAGTTACTCTCGTTACATGTTTAGCAAATTTAAATAAAAAGCTTTTTATGTAATTAAATTACTTATTCCAGTTAAGAATATTGTATTTCGTGCGTTTTAAACGGTATATACGTGAAATAAAAATTGTAATAGAAATTTGTTCACTGATGTGTGTAAAATTAATTTATTGTAATCATTAATTATTTGTGTACAGCTTAGAGCTGCGAATACGGTGAACCTGAGACAAATATATGGTGTTAAAAATATTCAATTTTTAATTACATTTACGTGGAATATAATTTGTGTGTTATTTTATTCATGATTAACTAACTACCTAAAATAACTACCTTCTATCGAAAACAATAAAGCTAAAATTGAAGCCAATAAAAAGATCTAGTTTTAACTTACGTATCAGGTTAAACTAATTTTTTAAATTATGTTTTTATCTATCACAACAAGTATCTCTCCCCTCGACATTAAGTGGAACTTATTTTGAATTTATTTCGAACATAGTGGAGTTAATTTTTTAGGTTCCAAACACAACGAAAAATATTCAGCCATAATATTACAATTAATTTATGGTGTATGTATAATAAAATTATGGTGAGAACTTGCCGGACTTGCGCCTTATAGAGCTGAAGGCGGTAGGCCGGAGTAAAATGCTGCTTCGATCTGTTCAGCACACCGAGCTTCTTCGAGGCCAATTTGGCTCGATATGTCGATGCCCAGGATTCCGATGCTGGCTGAGGCAGTTAGAGATGTACAATGTAGAAGAATCACAACAATTAAATAAGCTCTATTTATAAACTTTTGGTACTTACAAACATAATTATATTTAAATATTTTCATCTCTAACACAAAATATAAATTTAAACTCATTCCAGCATGATTCGTATTATAAAATGAGATTTTTAAAATTAAAATTTAAAATTAATTGTTAAAGATTGAAAAAAATACAATGTACGTATTTGGGAGTTACACCAAATAAAAAAAATAAAAGTATACATATAGTATAGTATATATATAGTATAGTATAAAGTATAATACAAGGCAATAATTAAAAAGCAATTTAAAAGTCCGACATAAAAATGGCCACTTATTGCGCTATCGACGACTTTTTAAACCAATTATTTTTCCTTATTAAAAAATATATAAAGTTTATAATTTTTTTTGTAATTCCCTTTTATTTATTTTTCATTTTGAAACCATATTCGAAAGGTTTTGTTGTTTTTTTTTATTAACTTTTTACTATTTTGCGCCAAAAATCGGTCATAAAAAAATTTACAAACATACCTATACGCGCGAAAAATGTGTCCCTTTCTTGGCAGTTGTGTAAAAACTTTCTGTTTTTTGTTTTCTGTTTTGTTTCTGAAATATTTTAGGTTTATGAAAAAAGTTTAATATATAAACTATTGACCTTTTTATAATTTGCAACTTTTATTATCTTCAACAGGAAGTCTAGGTTACCTAAAATTCGTAAAAAACATTCCACCGTTAAAAGTTCAACTCTCCGTAACTTTAATTATGATGTTTATATTGGTTACGCCCCTTTACAATAGTAACGCGCTGTTCTTAATTTAAGGTAAGTGTAAGGTGTTCTTAAGTTCTAAGGGAATATTTTAGAATAACTAAAACAAATATCAGTGACGTCTTTAGAATCTGTCATATACCTTTAGCAGTGGACGTTAATAAGATAAATTCAAGCCAGAACCCTAGAAATAAACATGCATAATCATCATCAACAGCCAATAGCCCACTGCTTGACTCTCTGGCCAGACGGGTTGGTATAGGGTTTGTACGCCACTCGCGTACTTCTTTGGACGGGGGCCGACTGCCTCTACCCGCCCGGAACTCAGCCGTCCGCCGATATATTTCGGCGAGCACTTCCTTCTCCAAATCCCACTGAGATTTTGAGATCATGATTGGTTATAATTGGAGTAATGGATATACACTAAGGCCCTTTTCTAAATAATATAATATACCTAACACATCTCACACATGGCCGTCTGATCCCAAACTAGGCCTGTGCTATGGTAACCAGACTGCTGTTAAAAAACATACTTATATATTTTTAAATACATACATATTATAGATAAATTATACCCAGACACAGAACAAATGATCATGCTCATCACACAATATTTGTCCTGGGTGGGAATCGAACCGACGACCTCCGGCTTAGCAGTCAGGGTCACATACCACTAGACAGACAGGCCCGTCAACCTTACAATTTCTACATTCCATACAATTCTAGATTAAAATAATGTTCTAAGAATAGATGAAATATTTGAGTGAAGCAACAAACGGGGTGTTTGGAAGTTCAGCCCTTACCTGGTGGTTGAGATGCCGACTATTTCTAGATAAGGTATTAGACACTAGGAAAATACTAGAAATAGTAAGTCCAGGTCTAAAAGTTGAATTTGGAATGCATAGCAGATCATAGTGTGATAATGTATTTTTAATAGGCCTTCATAAATTTTTATATTATAGCCCACCGGCTTTAATTATTACTGAGAACTGTTTATAACTGGAAGAAACGATATGGCTAGTAGGGTACCAGGCCTACACGCTGGCAGAGTGCCCGGCGTGGGTTGAGCAGAGGCGAGACCTCGTGGCGGCCATCGGAGTGGGAGTTCTCTCGCTCGATAGCCTGATTGCGGCTATCGTGCGGAGCGAGAGTGCGTGGAACTTTGCCGTCTCCTTCTGCGAGCAGGTTATGCTCGCGAAGGAGACGGCGGAGCGGGACCGGGAGAGGTTTAGGACTCTCCCGGCCCGCCAGGCCCGGGAACGGGCCAGGTACCGCAGGCGACTCAGGCGCCGGAGGTCGCAGAACGACCTTCGTCCTCCATAAGCGCAGGCCTGGGGGTGACAGGTGAGGCCATCTGTCACCCTAGCAGAAGCAGGCCGGGGTGGCGGCGAGCGCGTTGCGAAGCGCGCTCGCTTCCAGGGAGCACAGGAAACATGGGTTTCTCACACGGGGGGGGGGGTCGTCTACTCGTCTGTAGATGACCCGAGGTATGTCGGGGCACCAGGGACTTCCTTTCTAGGGTATACCTGGTTCCCCGGCTATTAGTACCCGAGACGGCGTGCGGTTTTAGTCGGTTCGAGTCCGACATGCCACCGACAGGTGGTATTCGAGGGGATTTCCGCACGGAAAAAAAAACAACCAGGCAATACATATAAGAGTGAAACATCTACTGCGTGTACAGTTTACTGCAAATGACCGTGCGAATTAGGAATGAGAAGAGGGAGTGCCACTAGGCTTTTTTTTCCACAAAGGGTTCGTCTGCACCTGATGGTAAGTAACTACCACCGCCATGGACACCTTTGAGAGTTCGCCCCAGAATTAGGGGGAGGAGTTATTGGACCTCCATTACACTCACTAAAAAAATTGCTTAACTCAGCGAAACGACTTGCGGGTCACTAGTTTTTGATATTTAGTCATATTACCATCTTATCGAGCTTATAACATTTTATCTACAGTTCTGCTTACACATGTATATTAAAATAAATTGGAAATAAAAAAAGACGAAATGAAAAAATACTGCATTGACTCGATTGCACAATAAAAGCATCAGTTTACCGAAATGCTAAAAAAATCCTAACAAGGGTCACGTGGCCTAGATAAAGTATTAAAAGAAGAAACTTGTTGTTTGATGTCAGTAGTCAGCAAACATATTAATTGAAAAATTGTCACTATTTTTAAGATACCGCCCCTAAGGTAGGTTCGCCAGTCCGAGATTTATCGGAGAGAAATTTAGTGTGAGAAAATATATTTAACACGTCGATAGTGTTAAAAATATATTTTGAAGTTGTCTTTTTTACAAGCAAAGTGAGGACGTTATTTTTTCATGTCTAGACTAAAAAAGATTATTGATTCTTGCATTCGCTTGCGAAATATCAAGCTGTAAGTATTATTTCAAGACTGAAGTGACCCTGTCATTTAGCCAAAAAATCATGGTAGAGTGATAGTTATGTTCGTAGGCTTTTCAAGTTTAGTTTAGCTTTACAAGACATGGCAAAACTATAAAGGTTCCTTGTGTTAGAAGTGTGTTATTTATTTATTTAAATTTTGAATACACTTTATACGGTACGCCATCTTGGCCGAGATCATAAAACAGGTGAGCGCCGCGCTCTTTTTAACCTTCATAACTTTGTAGGTACTTTCAAGAAGTTCCGGAACCCGGCTTAAAGATTTAACATTACTAATATAACTACTTCCAGTTGTCAAAAATACTGACTTTGATTGATTCAAACTTAGTTAACACTTGACAGCGTGCATACCGATTAAAGAGCTAAAAAAGACATTATAGTGATCTTTAATGAACTGTATTCTTCATTCCTTAATTTTACACCCACAAATTTGATTTCAACTAAATGGGAAATAAACTCTCCCAGAATAAGAAAAGAAACAAAGCCGATACCCTCCTCCTTTGTCGGTCGGTTGAAAATTTGACAAATATCCTGTGCAACCAAGTTTTATAACAAATTGAATACGAGCGCATATAGCTATGTATTCGTAGGCAGGTAAGTTGCTATAGACACTTCATCTTGTTCTTCGAGCACTGATCTTAGAGTCCGGTATGTCTTACGCGATTGAAAACTATTTGCAGCTGAGATAGCATCCATTTTATTGACTTTGTCTACCAATTCCACCAATGTAGTCCCTACGGCAGACAGATCTTTCCGCAGCGAGAGGACAGTATTTTGTAGCTCTAACATCGAGTCAACTTTTGCATCAATTTTTTCAAATTTTTTACTCATATTGTCGCGAACTTCTTCAGCGATTGATGCTTCCTTGCAAACTTTTGCAAGGATGGCTTTTCTAAGCTCTGAAATTTTTTTATCCCAGATACTGACATGTTTTCCGTCTTCCTTTATTTTCAATAGGTCTCCAAACTTGGACTGCGTGTTAGTGGATAAGGTCCTGTATTTATATCCAGCACTGCGCGTGGTGTAAAAATTTTTGTGGAAAACTTCTGACATGGCTACTAAATATATTCATCTGATAAACATTTGTATTACATTTGCATTGTCGATTTTTTTACTGTAGTCTTTCGTAATTTATCTTTATAAAAACATAATTGACTAATAGCGATCCTATATTACCTATATCCTTATTAAAATGTTTACAGAATTTTAAAAAAGTACTTTGTGAACAGAAACGATAGAAGGAAGGGATTTATTAAAGGAAAACTGCTGAGGATAATAATTAATATAAAGAAATTTTAAAATTGTCAAACAAAACGTCATACTTAAACATTGACATATAATGTTACATATACATTCTATAACACGTTGAAATATTAAGTGTCGGTAATATCTTAATTTGTTTAAATCTTATTTTATTTATTTTTTATTTAATGCTATAATTAGGAAATAAATTTTATATGAAAATGTATAAAACATTCAATAGTGACCTTAGAGCCATCTAGTGGTATAATTGTTAAATAGTACTTCAATAGTCTGACTGCAGCGTTTCTCTTCATTTTGTTTGTTATTTTTCCGCTAGAGGGCAAGCAAAGTAGTATTTTCAAACAGGGATTTTTTGAGGCGGTTTCACTTCGAATTCAAATAGATTGTCATCTATTTGAATTCATTCAATGATTTAGCGATATTTTTTGTACTTTATTGCAAAATATAGGTTAAGCAGCTCTACATGGAATAGTGGGAGGAACAGGCCCGCGACATAGAACATATACATCATCTTTATGCTAATAAAGAAAGGCTTTTGAGTTCGTAACTATCAATCAAGTTGCCTCACGTTAGGCTTTGGCAGAATTGTCGACATCGGCACAGTTTGCCACAAAAAAAAAAAGTTTGTTATATCGGTCCACTTCTGGACTCAATTTGTGCAATAATACACGGTCCTCCGCTTTCCGCATCCAGTCAGTCCCATCTACATTCTTCATGTCGTTAGTTCATCTTTCTGGGATCGTTCTATATTTTGTTTTATGATCCTCGGCCTCTACTCTAGGACCCATTGTTCTAACACCATCAATCCTTCGGAAGAAGTGACCAGCCCTCCAGCTAAGTTGGTAACTTTAGTTCTTTTTCGGATGTCCTCCAAGCTGAAACTCCAAGCATAGCTCGCTCAGTAGCACGCTGAATTTTAATTTGTGGACACTGACACCGTAGGGCTACTACTGTGACAGTGTTCACGTTTCGACTACGTTGTGAAGCTTTTCGGTAAGACTGATGCATAGTTTGCCGAATGCTGCCTAAGCTAACTGGATCCTAACCTGTCCAAATAAAGGTTTGATAAGTAACTTGTATGAAAATAATAATAACACCAGAAATGTTATTCAATGATATGTGATAATGATAATTATACGCTTACTTAATTCATTGTTACATTGGAATAAATTAAATAATTTATAACAAATTCATATTGGCCGCCCTATGGCAGTTACGACTTGTAGAAAAAATGGGCAGGACAAAGTAATGTGGCTGTTTCAATTGAGTAAACAATGAAACGGTCATTTCAAATAGAATCTATTCATAAACCACTCGAAAACTTCCAAAAAAAACGTGGTTAAAAACAATAATTCAGTTTTGTTCAAACCTTACAATGAGACACGGAACCCATGCAGAGATTTTTTGCATTGCTTTGTGTAGAAATGGACCAAAAGGGACAACAGGTTGGGGCTGTATTATTTAGAGATAAATTTATTTTTGATGAAGTGCAAAAGTCGGTGTTGGTCTTTTGACAGTGTTTCGGTAAAATTTTGTGATTTGAACACAATTGGTTATAAAAGGCTCAGCACACATGGGCTCAATATGGCCATTATTCCTTTTGAAACGGGTCTAATGAATGTCGATGTGAGGATCGGTTCTTACATTTTTTTTTTAAATATAGACAACATTATGGTTCACACGCACGATGATTCCCCACAATTTGTATTTCATTCTGTCTTTGTTTATAGACCTAATAGTAGGTACGTAGTTTTATTGAATTCATTCATATTACTTCTAATTTATATTTTAAAACAATGGTTTAGAGACCATACTACTTTTTAGGTTTAGTTATATTTTCTTGGGTGGAACCAGAATCGTAATTGTCAGATTTGGACAAAATTAAAAATAGTTTTTTCGTTAACCTATTCCTTTCAGAAAAAATAGTCTTTACACATAACCTGATTTGCCTTTCTGATAGTTAACAGGGATAAGACACAGTATAAAATATATCTGTACTAAGCTAAGTAAGCTTAGCTCCCACTTACATACAGTATTATAACAGATTGGAATTAAATTTGAAATACTATAGACGTATCCTGAATTAGCAGGTCCTTATTTGTGTAGGGAAAAAATATGACAGACATCCTTAACTTTAAAATACGATACGATATGAACATATAAACTAACCAAAGTTTGAGTTCACATTAGGTTTTAAGCAAAAGTCTTGAGTCTACACATAACCTAGCAAGCTTATTTTGACGAAAATATAATACTTTTCAAAACACATTTCATTAAAGAACGATAAAATCTTTCAGTCATAAACTCTATACAAAGTTTAGCGAACAAAGAATGTAACAATGAATACTGTTGTTCTAATCCTGTAGTGGCAAACACAAAGAGACGATCACGTTTGTGTTCGCCTTACAATCGCCTAGTTACTGAAGGCGAAGATCATCCAAAGATTACTTTCGGGTGGCTGTTAATACTTCAATGAATCCCGCCTGCTGTTTCTTGAATATTTGTCTTTTACATAAATTACTACTCATTAAGAAAATTGTCCTATGCGTTTAGTCTATAGAGCGCCACAAAAAGAACACACTCACATACTTACATAAATACACACATTATCCCCCTTTACTTATTGCAGATGGGTAAACAAAGGATGTTCTAACCTACCTGACTTTTCAATGAAAGGTACTTTTATAGACTGCACGTAGATTTATAAAATAAATTCCAAATTTAAATTTTTCAATATCAATTATCTGTAGCTATTTATGAGACACTCCCACTTATCATGTAACGCGTATTGTCATCGACAGCAAATTTAACGGGCCGCCGGGTAGGCAGGTACCTGTAACCAGCGTAGTAACGTGTACAAGGCTCATAATAGCCGAATAGCATGGTTCTCAAGCCACTCCAGCTATTATACAGAACACAATAGGCCGTTCATTATTCTATAACTAAGCGCCACTTTTAAAAGTTGTGATTTTTTGTCGCATAACGTAGTTTCGTAGTAAAACGACAGGTTTACTTGACGCCAGTCCGCAGGTAGGGTTTTTTTAATCGGTCTTTCCCAAAACGATAATGTTAGATTTGGGAGTCAGGTAAGTTAAGTAAGATGGGTTTGCATAAAATATATGTGTACAGGTTTGGTATAGTATCTCAACATTCTATATAAGTTGTATAATATAAGTTTTGCCATTGCACAGAATCCGTAACAGTCAATGATATTATATACAAACAAGAGGTAGATACGCCACTAACTCACAAAACGTGTAGGTTCTAGCGCGCACGTACTAATTAATTCGAGAAAATTCATAAAATGCTTTTCTGTGCATTCAGAAAGTGCACAAATTTCGACAAAAAGGTAAATAAAGATAAAGTAGTATCATACCACAGGAGCATGTTTTATTCTAAAATGTATGAATTGAAATAGACGTATGGTGGTACGGTGACGGAACAAATATTTATAGATATAACGTATCTTCCTTAAAATATTAGTGGTAACAGTAAGTTTAGTATCAAAACTAGGCGCGTATGTTTTTATGAGTGTTTTTTGAATGCTCCAACTTTGAAAAGTCCTGCATGCCCTGGTATCAATAGCCAGCCCTGGTAGTCAATATTGAACGAACGGATCTAACGGTCTCAGGATCTGTCGGTTATATTCATAAAAAAATTCTATCATTTTATAAATCATTTATATAAACTGGTGTTACATTTCCTTACGGCCTACAAGAGTAGTGAATAGATAGAACGATTCAATAAACTATTAATAAGAATGCAATTGAAAAATATAATTATGTGCCCACCATAAATTATAGAGATTATCGCAGAGGTACACTTAGCTAATAAGACATTTATCTATTTTAATATAAAAAGTTGTATAAATAAGTTAAATAAGCATGCCTTCTTATTTTTTAATTACGTTTACGTCAGAAGACGAATGCTTTGTACACCTGCAGCAAAAACTCACTGTGAAACGCTTTGACAAGACTCTTTGTAGAAATGTCAGTATGATAAGCGTACTAGAGGTCAACACGGCCCCTGCTGGTAGTGAAATGGCTGCAGCAGTTTTCGTTGGGTGGCTCACAACACGTCTTGCCAAGAACTTACTGCGTTATTTTCCAATGGGGTACTATCCTAATGCAACGAAACTTTCATAAGGATATAAAAATATCAACGTTTGATATAAATCTTTCATTAGACCTTAGTGAGGTCTCAAACAAGTATGCCGGTGGTATTTAAGAACAATAAAGAGGGAGAGGGCAAAACGTAGACCTTTATCATCCCCTAGTACATTTCTATAAATTATGTATTTTTTAATTTGTCGAATGTATATTATCATCATCACCTTTACACGATATTCTATTTTTGTATTTCCTCAACAAACTATCCTGATGCTGTACTTTTTATTACTATATACTATAGCCCATACTAAGATTTTAAAAATAAAGTATTCAGTGTTGACAAGGTATAAAGAAATGATAGAACTTTTCAGGGAATTTCAAACACACAATCCTGCCCGGCATGACTACGAGTAGTGGCAGACTCCACCAAACATTCCGAGATAGTAATTCGACACCACTTTGTCAGGGAATAAAAAAATGTAAATAATGTTGCTGGTGCACCCGGGGAGTTGGCTTTTTGTGATGCTCGCTTCTCACTCTGTGGGTTACTACTCTCAGTATTGTAAATTCCTATAAAAAAGGAACCCTTCGGTTTAATTTAAAACTATTAGACTACTATTTAAAATTGGTATTCTTGTATTCCTAATAGTACCTTCTATTAATTTTCAGTTTAAAGAAGTA